GCACACACATCATACACACACACGTAGACACGTTAAGACAGACAACAGCAGCAACAAAAACATTGCATCTCTACTGAACATATAGATATTTCTCCTTGTTATACTCGCCGACCAACACAGAATGGTAACTACTTGCATATCTTTGCATTGGGTTAGGTATTTAACCTAAAACTGATTTAACTATATGAGTGGATATGCATAGATTGCTTGCCGTTTTATACAAGCATCTCAGAGCTAATTTCCTGTGGATGTCCAAGAATGACTCTGTAGCCAACTATTTTTGCTCAGTCTTTTCTCATCCAGAATTATTCTGCATTTTGTATTGTTGCTGAGCGGGGTTTCACTATGTATCTCTTGCTGCCCTCACACTCCGTCTGTTGCTCAGGCTGGCCTCCAACTCACAGAGATCTGCCTATCTCTGCCTCTTGAGTGCTGGGATTAAGAATGTATGACACTACATCTGGCCACTTAAAACTTACTTAATGTATCTGTTTATGCTTATTAAAGCTATATTGCCTACTTTCGATTGCTCTATTTTAGCTGTTCTCAACTTGCTAATATGAAAGATGTAGAAATGTTATTCCCAGAACCCACAGTGCCCATCCTTCTGCTTTCCGGTACAAGTTATATCAGGCCCCCCCCCCCCTTTAAGTCCTATTTGTTTTGTGGGCATGTGTGTGTGCCTAGTGTATGTATGTGCACCCGTTGGGCCAGTGAGATGGCTGAGTGGGCAAAGGCACCTGCTACAGAGCTCAGTGGCCGAGTTTGCTCTCTGAAACCCGCTTGGCAGAAGGAGAGAGCTGACTACCACGAGCTGTCCTCTGACTTCCACACACAAGCTATGCGTGTGTGCCGGCGCCATAAACATCATAAAATGAGTACTTCCTCCTTGTTTTCTTTCCCTTTTACTTCCACTAAAAGTCTGACAAAAAAGTGCTTTCGCGTGGCTCTTTTTGAATGGAATTTCTTTGTATTTGCTGAGGCTGTTCTTATGTTGAGTCAATGCAGAACTCTGGGCAGCTTTCTTTATTCTGTTTAGTTATTTCTCATCGGTTTTTCATAATGTTTTCTACAACTCTTTTAATACTTTTTAGACCTTCTCGATTCTACTACTGACCCACTGATTTTCCAGTCATTACCCCTTCCTTCCATCTTCCTTTCATTTTTTCACTTTTTGTTTGTTTGTTTTGTGTTTTTTTTTTTTTTTTTTTTTTTTTTTTTTTGAGACAGGGTTTCTCTGTGTTGCTTTGAAGTCTCTCCTGGCACTCACTCTGTAGACCAGGCTGGCCTTGAACTCATGGAGATCCGCCTGCCTCTGCTCCCAAGTGCTGGGATTAAAGGCATGTACCACCACTGCCTAGCCCTACTTATTTTTTTTGACTTTTTTCTTTGCCAATCTATTCAATCTTTTTGAAAACAAATAGTTTTATTTATTATTATTATTAGTGTGTCTATATACAGGCCTGCTTTCATGGATGGATGGAGGTCAGAACACAAGCCTGTGGGTCTCCTTCCACAGCGTTCTGGGGCTCTCGATATCAAGCCTGAGCAAAAATCTATTTACCAATAGATCTATCTCATTTGGCCCTAATTTATTACAATCTTAAACATATGTAGCATTTTTTCTTTCAGCTTTTTATAACATTAGCTACAGTGTTTGTTCATAAAACAGTGGGAGGGGTTTATCTCAGTCACTGTTCTATTGCTGTGAAGAGGCATCACGACCAAGGCAGCTTTATAAAAGAAAGAATTTAGTTGTGGGCTTGCTTACAGCTTCAGAGGGTTTGTCCATTGTTCTCCTGTGAGGACATACGGGAGCACTCATGGTGCTGTGAGGACATGTGGGAGCACTCAGTGCGGTGAGACATGTGGAGGAACTCAGTGCGGTGAGGACATGTGGGAGCACTCATGCTGTGAGGACACATGGGAGCACTCATGACACAGTGAGGACATGTGGGAGCACTCATGGTGCGGTGAGGACGTGGGAGCACTCATGGTGCGGTGAGGACATGTGGGAGCACTCATGCTGCAATGAGGACACGCGGGAGCACTCATGGTGCGGTGATGACACGCGGGAGCACTCATGGTGCGGTGAGGACACGTGGGAGCACTCATGGTGCGGTGAGGACATGTGGGAGCACTCATGGTGGGGTGAGGACATGTGGGAGCACTCATGGTGCGGTGAGGACATTTGGGAGCACGGATGGTGCTGTGAGGACATGTGGGAGCACTCATGGTGCGGTGAGGACATATGGGAGCACTCATGGTGCGGTGAGGACACGCGGGAGCACTCGGTGCAGTGAGGACATGCGGGAGCACTCATGGTGCGGCGAGGATATGCGGGAGCACGGCAGCACTCATGGTGCTGTCAGGACATGTGGGAGCACTCATGGTGCAGTGAGGACATGCGGGAGCACTCATGGTGCTATGAGGACATGTGGGAGCACTCATGGTGCAGTGAGGACATTTGGGAGCACGGCGGCACTCATGGTGCAGTGAGGACATGTGGGAGCACTCATGGTGCGGTGAGGACATGTGGGAGCACGGCGCATTCATGGTGCTGTCAGGACATGGTGGGAGCTGCATTCTGATCTGCAAGCAGGGAGAGCGCCCCTGGGCCTGGTGCAGGGCCTTTGAAACCTCAAAGCGCACTCACTCCCAGTCCCACTCCTCCTCCAACAAGGCCACACCTCCTAATCCTTCCAAGCAGGGCCACTGTCTGAGTGACTAAGCATTCAAATATGTGGGCCTGTGAGGGCCATTCTCATTCTGACCACCACAGGAGTGACCTTAAGTTTTGGAATCTCGCCAAAGTGCTAGGAAACTTTTTCTTGACAGGAGCTACATTATAGGAGCGGGAATGTAGCTCAGTTTGGGGGTTCCTTCTTTGCACGCACCTTTGAAGTCCTGCCTTTGATCCCGGTGCTGTGTAAATCATACACATGCCTGGCAGGAGGAGTGGAGGCTGTAAGGCTTCCTCTGTTACATGATGATTTCAGGACTATCCAGGCTCACATGAGACCCTCACAAAGAACCATGTCAGCTGTTAGAGCATGTATTGCTCTTTCATGGAGCCTGAGTTCAGTTCCCAGTACTCTCACTGGGTGGCTCAGGAAGCCTCTAACTAGCTTCTGGGGATTTGATGCTTCTGACCTCTGAAGGCACTGGCTCACACATATGCCCCACATACACAGAAACACAGAAATAAAACTAAGTCTTTAAAACACTGAACAAATAAGAAGAGTTGGGGGTATCAGCTGTCCATATACATTCAGTTTCTAAACATCTACTGCCAAATGATTTTTGCTTTTGTTTTGTTACGATTTTTTGACAGGAGGTCTTGTCTGTGGTCCAGGCAACCTGGAAGTTAGCTCAAGCTAACTTTGGACTTGGGCTGGTGTTTAAACTCATAGCAATCCTCCTGCCCAAGTGCTGAGATTACATCCACAAGTCACGCCATTTGACTCTGTAATCTTTTTGTTTAGCTCTGCCACAGATTAATTTTGTCTCTACCTGATACCCTTATTTAGTCTTTTTAGTCGAGCTAGTTCAGTGTTCTCTGAGCTTTTAGTCTCCTAAATTCTTCTTTGCCCATTGGTGTTTAGTTTTCATAAGGGTTTCCTCTGTGCCCTTAATCCTTTTGTTACCATTTTAATGGAAGTTCAAGAAAAATACATTAGAAATACTGTTAGCCAGGCATGGTGGTGCACGCCTTTATTCTCAGCACTTGGGAGGTGGAGGCAGGTTGGTCTCTGTGAGTTCAGAGGCCAGCCTGCTCTACTAAGTGAGTTCTAGGAGAGCCCAGAGCCCGGATTGTTACACAGAGCAACATTGTGTAACAAAGAAAAAAAAAGAAAAACAAAAAATGAATACATACACATTCATTTTATATACATATTGCTTATAATTATTGTTATTTTGCTCTGTCATCCTAGACATTACTAGTTCTAAGTGTCCTGGTAGTTGCCTATTGTCCCCCCACTTTTTTTTTTGTTTTTTTGAGACACGATTTCTCTGTGGCTTTGGAGCCTGACCTGGAGCTCACTCTGTACACCAGGCTAGCCTCGAACTCACAGAGATCTGCCTGCCTCTGCTTCCCAAGTGCTGGGATTAAAGGCATGCACCACCACCATTGCCCGGCTTGCCTACTCTTTTATGTTTTCTCTTATTTTACTTAATAATAGTATGCGCAAACTACATTGAAAAGCAGTTGAAGCTGAACATACCCGGAAATGTTACTGTATTTGTTCTTTCTTTCATATGAAAAGACTAGGCTTCAATAGTTGTTCTTGTCTTTTGTTTATTTTGCCTTCTCTCTCTCTCTTTCTTTTTCCCAATCCAGCCCTGACTCGTCCTGGAACTAACTCACTCTGTAGACCAAGTTGGCCTCAAATTCAGAGATCTGCCTGCTTCTGCCTCCCAAGTGCTGGGATTAATGACATGCACTACCACGGCCTGGCAGTGTGACTTGTTTTTAAGGCAGAATCTCATCTGTAGCCAGGCTGGCCTGAAATTCATGTCTAATCCATGTAGACTTTAAACTCAAGACAGTTCTCTACCTCAGTGTCCTGAGTTCTGGAATTATAAAAGTTACCTACAATGTATGACTTAGTCTTTTTTTAATAGCACATGTAGTTTTATTAGTAAAAATGGGAGAATTCACAGGTTGTTAAGGATGTTACTGATACAGTAACTTTTTGTTCTCTTTTAGAAACAGTCTCGAGTTTATATACAAAGAAGGACACAGAATGAAAGACTTGTGAGCTGTCTCATCTCTTAGGAAAACCTAGGCGACAAAGTATTTCTTCTGGGCACAGACATTGTATGTGAGACTCAGTTGAAGAAAATTTGAACTTAATTTACCCACATTCATAACTTACATATGAACATGAGAGAAACTGTAAAACAGAACCATTAATATAAAGGCAGGGCTGTATTTCAGGGTACTTCATCTCAGGGTACTTACATAAAAAGTCTTCATTATAATTCAGTCTCATTAGATACTTGTGAATTAATCCTGAAGAGAAATTCTATGTATTAGTGATTGTGGAAACGCTTTCATCCGAGCTCAGTAGATGCTAGGAGAAAACCCTCGTATGTAACGGGATGTTGGAAAGTCTTCATCCTGAGTCGGGTCTTCTGCAAGATGCACTCAGTCCTGGAGGGGACCTTTATGAATGCAATGAATGTAGAAAAACCTTTAGCCTAAAAGAAAACTTGGTAGAACACAAGAAAATGCATAGTGGAGAGAAATCACATGAATGTACAGAATGTGGCAAAGCGTTTTCTCGAGTCTCATCACTCACTCTACATTTGAGAGGGCATGCACGGACGAAATCATACAAATGTAGGAAATGTGGAAAAGCCTTCAGCCAGAGAGGAGACTTCCTCTCTCATCAGAAACAACATGCTGAAGAGAAGCCCCAAGACTGTGAGAAAACTTCCATTCAGATGACACCCCTCATTAGAAATCAGACAAATACGGGGAGCAAACCATTCGCATGTCAGCAATGTGGAAAAGCTTTTAATGGCAAATCGTATCTCAAAGAACATGAGAAAATTCATACTGGAGAGAAGCCATTTGAGTGTAGTCAGTGTGGAAGAGCCTTCAGCCAGAAGCAATACCTCATTAAACACCAGAACATCCATAGTGGGAAGAAACCTTTTAAATGTAATGAGTGCGGTAAGGCATTTAGCCAGAAAGAAAACCTCATTATACACCAGAGAATCCACACTGGAGAGAAACCCTATGAATGTAAAGGGTGTGGGAAAGCCTTCATTCAGAAATCAAGCCTCATTAGGCACCAGAGAAGTCACACTGGAGAGAAACCTTATACATGTAAGGAGTGTGGGAAGGCCTTCAGTGGCAAATCAAACCTCACTGAGCATGAGAAAATTCACATCGGAGAGAAACCCTATAAATGTAATGAGTGTGGGACAATTTTCAGGCAGAAGCAGTACCTCATCAAACACCACAACATTCATACCGGTGAGAAACCCTATGAATGTAATAAATGTGGGAAAGCCTTTTCCCGGATTACATCACTTATTGTGCATGTGAGAATTCATACCGGTGATAAACCCTATGAGTGTAAAATCTGTGGGAAAGCCTTCTGTCAAAGCTCATCCCTTACCGTGCATATGAGAAGCCATACCGGTGAGAAACCCTATGGTTGTAATGAATGTGGGAAGGCCTTTTCTCAGTTCTCAACTCTTGCTTTACACATGAGAATCCATACTGGTGAGAAACCTTATCAATGTAGTGAGTGTGGGAAGGCCTTCAGCCAGAAGTCACACCACATTAGACACCAGAGAATTCACATTCATTAAAACTCTATGAATGCCTTAGATTTAGGAACGCTTGAGCAGAGTGTATGATTAGTAATATATCAGAAGAGTTGTCTTACGTTAAATTTATACGAATGTAGGAAATCCTGTAGAGACCCAAAAGTACAAAGTTATTTAGTAAGATGTATTACAATATATTACATACTTCCCAGACTCTCATAATAAACAGTATTATAATTTTAGGACCCTCCTCAATGAACTTAGAGTCCAATTAGCATAGTCTTAGAAAGCTTATCAAATGTATTGAGATAATATGAGCAATATAAAGGTTTGAAATTAAGAGGCAAAAATATTTTTGATATATGCTTTGCTATATGAATAATTTGTAAAAAATCATTTTTCAAAAAAGGCATTTCGGGACAGGGTCTCCCTATGTACATAGCCCAGGGTGACCTTAAACGCACTGTGTAGTCCAAGTAGGCTTCACGCTTCTGTTCATGCACTTACCCAGCCTCCCAATGCTGCAATCACAGATGTACAACACCATGTCTTTGCTGATAGAACTGTATAAAGTTGAGGTCAGGACAGAATATTGAATCTAGAAACATGAATGAATTCATGGGAGACTGGCAATTGATTCTGGCAGTATCCCAGACTTCCAGAAATCATGGGTGACTTAAATAACAATCTCAGGATAATTAACTGGTAGGGGAAAGTTACAGGCCTCTGATGTCTTCATCTATTGACACATTTCTTAGGAATAACAATGTCCTTGCAGAAAGCAAAGCTTTGTATAAAAAGATTTCGGAGAGGGTGGTTTCTCAGACGAGTAGGAACGAAATTCTAGATTCTAGGATCTTCAGCTGTTAACCCCTGAGCGTTTATGCTTAAGACATGGATATGCTTATGTAGGGAGTCGTGTACCAGTTGGTCTGTTCATTGCAGCATGAATTGTGGTAGCAAAAAATGGGCACAGGTGTTTGTTGCTTATGAAGCAGATAAGTAAAATGCAACAGTCACACAGTAGAATACTCTAGCAACTAAGCACAACACGTTAAGTCTATGTGTTAACAGCAAAAGAAAAAGGGAAAGAAAAAAAATCAGCATCAGAATTGATGGATATATTGTGATGATTCCTGTGTAAATTTGAATAAAACCCACTTGTCTAACTAAGCATTGGTTATGGGAAACACTTTTCTCTACAACTAGAATTGGGCGGATATGTGTTCAGTTCCCCAAAAAGGTGGTTGTTGCTGGTACAGTAAGAATGAGTTCTGGAGAAATGAAATGTGACAAAGCAGGGTGATTAAATGCTTCTCCACTTTTATATCTAAATATCTACTTTTCATTCAAAATAAAGATTCCAAATACATGTAACCAATTGGTTGTTCTATGTCGTGGCAACGTATATTCTGTGCTATTTTTCTTAAAGAGATAGATGTGGATGAGATGCATACTGTTACAGCAGTCCCCATTATATGTGTGGGATACATCCCAAGGCCCCTAGTGGATCTCTGAAGTCCTGTATAGTACTTAACTCTGTGTTAGGTTTTCCAATGTACATACGTACCTGTGCTGAAGTGGATAAGCTCGGTAAGAGTCTAACAGCAGCTTTTTACACAGCGTAGTAACCTCAGTATGACTTTCCCCCATTCTTATTGAGAACATTCATGTCTTCAAGTAAAGGAACTGCAGCTCTGGAGCTACTGAATAAAAACAAGTGTTGCTGTGTAGTTTCTGTCCATTATTAGCCCCAGACTAATAAAATGTGGAAAAGTCCTACGCTGACCACTTGTTTTGTTTTGTTTGTGCTACAGGTTTGATTCATTTGCATGGGGGTCTGGATTCCTCGGTGCTCTGGACCATGCCAAGATTCAGTCCTTAGGTGTGGGTGGGTTGGGAGTGGCATCATCTTACCATGACTAACTGGAGCAGGAAAACCCAAAAGCCTGTGAATATCATCAGCTTTCACGTTCTGACTATAATAAAGCTAGAATTTGACCTTAATATGCCCGCCTCCCCCCATCTCTCTTCCCTCAAGGCCTTGCTTTGTAGCCTGACCCAGCTGTCCTGGAACGAACTAGACAAGGATAGCTTTAAACTCACAGCAATAACCCCGCCTCACACTTGGTCCTTTGTTTCAGGTGTATGATCACGCAAGGAAAGGGCCAACCCATCTCCAGCTTTGTCTGCTCTAGCATTCCATGTGGCATGATATCCTAAACTGATCTCAGGCTTTATTCCATTCCCTGAATAGTAACTTACATGAGTGTCTTAGGATTGGGGGGAAAAAGTCCAAAGGAACCACACCTGATCTGGAAGAGTGAGAATCCCTTACTTGGTTTCTAAAGCAGTAAGGTGGAATACCTAACTTCTGAGTTCAGATCTTAGGAGAAAGGTTGCTCATGGCCGCTTTAGGGGAAAGTAGAAATTGGGACTACTGTGTAAAATGAGTAAATACGTGAGCTTTTCTTGCACAGTTCAAACTACCAATCTAGTTGTCACACTCATTGGGGGCGGAGCATGATGGTTGCTTTGGAGACAGTCTCACCACGTGGCCTTGGCTCCCCTGGAACTTGTTATGTAGGCCGGGGTGACCTTGAGCTCACAGAGATCCATCTTTTCTCTCCTGAATGCTCAAAGACATTTGGCCCACATTTTCTTTTAGGGAAAGGTATGGGGGACAGGGTCTTTTGTACTTTAGGCTGTTCTTCAACCTGCTAAATAGCCAGGAATACCTTGGACTTTGGATCCCCTGTCTCCTCCCAAGTTCTGAGATTCCAGGCATGCACTAGTATGCCCAGTTGATGTGCTGGGAATTGAACCCAGGACTTTGTGCATGCTACTGACCAAGCTGCATCCCATCTGTCAAACCGGTGGACTCGCATGGAGAAATCCGTGTGGGTATTAACTACTCACCTGCCTGGAGTGGCCACTTCTTGGGAGGATATCCTGCTTAGCCATGTAGCTGAAGATAAACACGGTGCTCACACATATGGGGGTGGGGAGGGGTGGGGGGTGGGGGTGGAGCTTGCAGCCTCGAGTCCTTTTTCAGCCAGTGTTAGTCATTCAGGAGGCAGAGCTTTCCTGATCCCTACCCACCAGGCTCAGTATGTAACCCTGGCTGAACTGAAACTTCCTATGTAGACCAGGCTGGCCTCAGACTCACAGAGATCTGCCTGTCTCTGCCTCATGGGTGCTGGGATAAAAGGCGAGCACCATGCCTGGCTATGATCAATTCTTGTTGTTTGTTTTTTTTGAGACAGGGTATCTCTGTGTAGCTTTGTAGACCAGGCTGGCCTTAAACTTGGAGAGATCCACATGGTTCTGTCTCCCAAGTGCTGGGATTAAATGCGTGCAGTACCAACTGGCATGATCCAGTTCTTAACACTTGCTTTTGGAGACTAAAATTCCAATGCATTTGTAGGGGGATACATTTAAATCATAGCAAAGTGCAACTGATTTTGGTATATTGCTTTTGTAACCTTCAAATTTGGCGTGGACTTTAAGAGATATTTTTAAGGGTTATTTGTTTTACATGTATGAGTGTTTTATCTGCATATATATTAATCACCATGTTCAGATGAGAACTTCAGATTCCTAGATTCCGGAACTGGAGTTACAGACAGTTTCAAGCTGCCATATGGGGGCTGGGAATAAAACCCAGGTCCTTGGCAAGAGTAACTAAGACTGGTCAAGTGAAGTGTGTGTGGGGGTGAAGGGTGGAACCCCGCCCCCTAAAAGAAGGGGGATAGGATATGACACTTAAAATCTTTTCAGAATCTGGGCTGATGAGATAGCTCACTGAGCAAGGCTTGGAGACCTGAGTCAGATCCCCACAGAATCATGAGAGAGGCCCAACTCCACAAAGTTTACTCAAACACATGCAGACATACATGCACACAACACACAGATGTTTTCTATTATTGCAAAAACGTTACAAATAAAAAAGCGAGAAATTAATCAGACCCAAAGACTACACGGTGAACTTCCATTCAGTTAGAGTCTATTCAGAAGCTGTGGAGCTTCACATTGGATTTTATACTTTTCACTATTGAATGTATTTTTATGCACTTACCCATAACCAAGACAGAAAGGCTCATGGCAGAGTTAGAGGTAGAAAGACTTGTAGCTTCATATCCTTCATAACTGCCGCCCATCACATGTGCTCAGGTGTATGTGGGGCTGTGCAGGCAATAAAATAAGATTTAAAAATACCTTTGAAATGTTCCAAATCTAAGGATTTTGTAGAATATCTAATTGGAGATATAAAGAGATTAAGATGCACCTAATCCAAACTGGAAGGGAATAAGTTAAGTTTTTACTGTTCACACACATGTTGAAAACCTAAAAAAATCCATTAACAATATAGTACAACAGGAGATTGTCCAGACATGGCTCCATGATTAAGAGCACGTAGTACTCTTGAGGGGACCTGGGTTTGGGTCCCAGCACCTACATGGTTGGTCACGAGTGACTACAACCGATTCTCCTGTTCTAGAGGATCAAATCAATCCCTCTTTTGGTCACTTCAAAAAGTCACACAAGTGATGCCCATACATAAGACTCTCTCTCTCTCTCTCTGTCTCTCACACACACACGTAAAGAAATAGGTTTTGAAACAGAACCAACCCAAGTATGATGATGCTCACTGTAATCCCAGCAGTAGGGAGACTGAGGCAGAAACGTAACTTTGAGGCTAGTCTGAGCTAAGGTGCCGCATCAAAACCATCGGAACCCTGACATTATGCTGAATGGCTTAGGTCAGCCACAAAAAGACAGATCTGTATTCCATTTCTGTGACATATCCATTGTAGCCATGTTCCTTGAAGCAGAAGGTTGAATGGTGATTGCCAGGACTAAACCAGTGGTTCTCAACCTGTGGGTCATGACCCATTTGTAAATATTAGATATTTACATTATGATTTGTAACAGTAGCAAAATGACTGTTGTGAAATAGCAACAAAATAATTTTGTGGTTGGGGGTCACCACAACATGAGGAACTGCATTAAAGGGTCACAGCATCAGGAAGGTTGAGAACCACTGGCACCAAAGGAAAGGGAACAGGGAGTTGTTTTTGGAAAAATTCTGGAAACAAGGTAGATGGCATACGCCTTTAATGCCAGCACTCAGGAGGCAGAGCCAAGATCCATGCCAGCTGGGGCTACATAGAGAGAAGAGACCTTGTCTCAAAAACAAAATAGCAACAAGTTTTGGAGATTGGTTACATAGTAATGCAAATCATTAATACTGCTAAGTTGTACATTTGGAAATGGTTAAGATGGTTCATTTCATGTTATATATTTAATCATACATATTCAAAGACGGGTAAAGAATGGGAACTCACTGGTCATAGGAATATGAACGGAAATCACAACATGTAGAAATATGTTTGCTGAAATACATATATACAGGTTAAGCAAAGATGGTCAATGACAGGATCCTAATTTAATTCTTTAACTTATAAAACTCTAGGGCGATGTCATTAGATTTTTAAAAGAACACACTAACCAGAACTCCCGGTTGACAGACTGTTAAATCTCAATCTTGGCAGTTGCTCAGAGGAGGAAGAATGAAGCAGAGGGAGAAGATAAATGACAGCACAGAGAACTAGAACATTCCATGAGCAGAAGGAGAGATTTATTGAGGCTCAAACTGGCAGCACCGTCTGGAGGCAGGGCACAAACTAGATGAATATTTCAGAAAAGCAAGCAGATTTTATACGGCAGTCAGTGGGCTGGAGGTCATACGGGCTGTCTGGTTGATCCGGAACCAGATGCCCTTGCCAGAGGTTGTTGACCTTTGAGGGAATAGTTTCTGGTGGACAGCAATGCCTACTAGGCCTGCTTTTCTAGTAAACAGAAGTCTGCCTTTAGGAGTGCTGACCCCACCAAAGTTCTGCTTAGTACAATGTCACCAACTCTGCCATTTAGCGGGTGCTGTTAAAAACTTGATGCGTCCATGAGATGTTCCCTTTCTTTTCAATTTTATTTTATTGCGGGAGGGCAGAGGGCACATATGAAGAGACAGGAAAATGAATGAGATTGAGATGCATGATGTGAAAGACACAAAGAATAAATGAAAAGGCAGGAGACAGGTTTTGTTTGTTTGTTTGTTTTTGTTTTTTTGGTATAGGCTGAAGGAGAAAAGGTGAACATTTACACAGACAGCTGATATGCCGTTGTCACAGCTCATGCACAGCTATATAAACAGAGGGGCTTACTCATCTCAGAGGAAAAGACTAAAGGCACTAACAGGAAGTGGTCCAGGTGCCAGAGGCCATCCGGCTGCCAACAGAACCAGCCACAGGTCACTGGCCAGAACACCAAAGAGACAACAGCTCCCAAACTCAAGCTAACAACCATGCGGATCGCGTTGCCACAAAGGGCCCTTGGGGAACCCAAACCCCATACTGACCTGGGACTATCTACTATCCCTGGGCCCCCACTCTGCCTCGATGAAGATGTTCTTGAGTCTGATCCAGAAGAGATCAAGTCATATTTTGTCATGGTGGCTTGGGAGAGCTGAAATGGAAGGTGGATCTTGCCTGATGGATGAATCTTTATGCCAAAGGTACTGGGCCAAAACTGGCTGACTGCTTTGCATCCTGCCATGCACTTGTCACCTAAGAAAATCTGAGCACTTCATGCCTGGGTACCAGGACACAGAGAAAAACTTTCGAGAATTTCAGACCATTGCCGGACCTGTCTGTGCCAGGTAAATGCAAAAAAGGGCATGCTTCCCTCAGGCCAATGGAGTCAGGTACAGTACCCAGTGAACTGTGGGAAATGAACTTCACTGAAGTCAAGCCAGGACCGTATGGTTACAAATTTCTGCTGGTCTTTGTTGATACTGTCACAGGCTGGGTAGAGGCTTTTCCGTCCCTAACGGAAATGACCCAAGTGGTAGCTAAGAAATTAATAATAGAAACTATCCCCAAATTTGACCTCCTCATATCTCTGGGGTCCAACATTTTACAGTCAAGTTTCTTAATTGCTTTCTAAGGATGTTGACATAAATTGGGAGCTTAGGAAAGATAGAGAGGATGAATAGAGCTTTCAAGGAGATTTTAACTAAATAAACCATTGAGACCAGTGGTAACCTTATGCCCTTCTTAGCAAAGCTCACCCCCAATGAAATAGTCTATGAGCACCCCCTCCCATGATCCTTCAGGTAAATGCTGGACTGTGATTGCACCACTCCAATCTGGGTCCATAAAACGGACCTGGAATTAACCTTAGATGAGATTTCCCCTCAGTTGGCCCTGTAACCAGAACCCAAGAAATGCACCCTGACCCGGAAACCATTGCCAAAGAAACACACTTTGTCCTGGAATCAGAGCCAGTGAAGGAAACATACCCTAGCCCTAAATTTAGAGCCAAAAGGCTAAAGAGGACCAGTTAAAGGAACACTTGGACCCTGAAACCAGAGCCAAATCCGATCCTGCACCTGAGCAGAAACTAACCAACCCCTGAGCACGAGATCTAGCCAATCTGAGCTCGGACTGAAATCTGACCAATGTCCACCCTGGAAATCTCCCTGAGAAAACTCCACCCCTAAACTCTCTGTCTGTTCAGCCTGTGGCTGTCAGGCTGTCCAGCTGTCCTCTGCCACCCTGGCAGAGGCAGCCACTTTCCTGGTTTCTCCCCTCCCAGTAAATCTCTTCAGTGGGGTTTGGGTGAGAACTTTTTCTTTCACGGGAATGGAGTGGAGGAGAGAAAGAACTTTTCACCGGAGCCAGAGTAGAGCAGAGCGAGTGGAGCAGGGCTGTAACACTTCCGCCAGGGAAACCTTCCCCTAGAGAAGAGTAGTTGTTATACTCCCGGGGACCTGAGCCAAACTGTAACAACTTCCCTGGGGGAGCCTTCCCCTGCTGGAGCAGAGCTGATACACAGGGGAAGCCTTTTATGTAGCAGGGCTGTAAGCAGCTGCGCTTGCTGTGACCTGTGGTATTCCTATGCTCCCCAGGGCCAGAATACCTTTCCATCCGAGCTATAACAGGCAGAATACCTTTCCTTGCCGACCCGACCTGTCGAAATGCTTACACCCATCACCCCAGAGGTGGCCATGCAAAAGCTTAGCTTTCTGAGGAATTGAGATCACTTTTGAATAGTCCATCAGTTTCCCTTCCATTGCGCTGAAGTTCATTCCCCCCCCCCCCCCCCCCCCAGAAATCTCAGCGGGGCGCCTACCTTGCTATGCAAATCACACTCCTCCCCTTTTTCCTGATGCTGTCCATTGCCTAGAGATAATACCGAAGGACCGAGTAGTAAAAACATCCTAGCTTTTTGGAGTGCGTTTAAAAGGTGACGATGGAAGCTTATTCGGGGTTCTATGAACCCTGGGGATGCCTTTCGATGAAGGGTGTAGTCCTTTGGGCCACGCCTCAGCCAAACACGCATAAAAGTCCCGCCCATCGGGAGCCGTCTTCTCCTCGGCGTTGTCTGACTACGTTTCCCAGAAGCCTCCTCGGCTTCTCGCGGGAAAGTCACGTGCTGGAGGGACCTCATAGCTTTGCTGGCAATTGCTGAGGTGCATTGAAGGATTGAGGGGTTCGGGAAGCCTGGAAGGCCGGAGGTGCGGAATCTGAGAGGAGGGCGGGGCGAGCCCCGAGCCCGGGCTTTGTGCGTCACAGGAGTTGAGGTCGGAATTGCAGAGTTAGTTTTGATCGCGCGGTGCAAAGGGTTTGCTTCTGTGATGAGCGTCTGTTTCTGCTAACACCGGAGTGGGCGCCACCCCTTGGTGAGTGAAAGCGGGCGAGCCGGGGACCACGTGCGGTATTGTGTGGATGTGGAGTGCTTGTGACTGGTTGAGTGTTCTGTCCCTGGAGTGGCTGCGATATGTGATGTTGGGACCATGTGCAGCGGAAAGCACGGTTGTGTTTATGTTACCTTGCGAGTTCCCGAGTGTGTGGTTCCCTTGGCTTCGCGTAGGTAGGTTGCCTAGACTTGGATGTCGCTGTTGAGGGTTTGTGGGTTGTGCGTGCGTGCGTGTGTGTGTGTGTGTGTGTGTGTGTGTGTGTGAAGTTTTGGATGTATATCTCTGCGTGCGTTATGTTTTTAGCTTTTCCTCATTTTAGAACTTCATGTGAGTGCAAGCATGCTCTCCTTTGCCTTTTATTATGTTTTATTTGCACACCACTGTGGAACTCATCCATGTTAAGTAGGATAGTGGCTTACCGAGTTGTTTTTTGAGGTTTGGTATTCCAGGATCTGAAGTATACTGCATGTATTATTCATCTTGTCATATGTCATATGTAGACATTTGAATATTTCTAATTTTCAATCCGATAAACATACTGCCATGACCGTTTTAATTTTTTAAATGTATTTTTTGAAGACAAGGTCTCACTGTGTAGCCCTGGCTGGCCTGGAACTTGCTATGTTCAAACTCACCTGCCTCTGCCTCCCCGAGTGCCACCACTACCTCAGACTTATTTTATTTACTTGTACAGTGGGATACAGGAGCTTCCCTTTCCACCAGTGCCGGCATTCCACTCTACTAACAGATGCAAAATATACCAGAGCGGATGCTCCTTATCCTTACCCCCCCCTCCCCAAAAGGGTTTAAAATGTGATTTAAGAAAAGATTTACTTTTAAGCCTCAGTGTTGTGCAAATTTATTTTAAGGTGTGTTACATTTGTTTATGCTGTAGAACATGTGTTTTAATGATGCAGAGATGTGTTGCATCCCTTTGTGTTGCATTTGCTTAACTTGGAAGCTGTGTGTGTGTGTGTGTGTGTGTGTGTGTGTGTTTTGCCTGTCTAATAGAGCTGAGTGGCCAATAATAAGGCAGGAGAAAGGATAGGCGGGGCTGGCAGAGAGAATAAATAGGAGGAGATGAGGAATGAGAAAAGGCCCAGGAGAGGAGGGTGCCAGGGGTGGGCCGGCCAGCCAGAGTAAAAGCGAAAGTAAGACATACAGAAAAAGAGAAAAGGAAAAAAACGCCCGGAGGCAAAAGGTAGTTGGGGATAATTAAGTTAAGGAAAGCTGGCTAGAAACAAGCCAAGCTAAGGCCAGACATTTTTAGGTGAGAATAGACTCCGAGTCATGATTTGGGAGATGGGTGTCGCCCCCTCCCCCCAAAAAAAGAGTAAGAATAAAGTGCTGCTCTGTTGCTCTGGAGGAAGAGCAGCCTGGTCTACAGAGCCAGTTCCAGGACAGCTAGAGCCTTGCCTTGCAAAACCAGAGAGAGAGGGGAGGAGAGTGAGTCTCTCTGTGGCCCTGGCTGGCCTCAAACCCGCGCGCGGCTGCTGCCTCAGCTTCTCGCTCTGCGATTTCCGGCATGTGCCATCATGATCTAGTTTATAAAAGAACTGTCTGTCTTCGTGTATTTGCGTATGTGGACATGAGCCATCTTGCCCAAATCCCTCCTGTTCTATTCTGGAGTGCCGCTTTCTGAAGTTGGGATGTTGAGACATGGTTCACTCTCTCCACTTAGACTGCTCAGTGTGCGGGTGTGAGTGCGTAGGAATGACTGTTGTGGGGACCGAGTCCGGTGGGCGCTCACTATTGTTTTTGCGCCTCCCAGTTCTACTCTGTTCCTGAAGAGCATCCCAGAGGAGTGACGATCAAGCCATGGCTCAGGTGAGTGTGACTCTCTCTCTCTCTCTCTCTCTTTGAGACAGGCGCCTGTCCTGGAACTCACTCTGTAGACCAGGCTGGCCTCAAACTCACAGAGATCCGCCTGCCTCTGCTGGATTAAAGGCGTGCGCCACCATTGCCTGGCCAAATTGAGTCATTTGTCTACTTTCTTCATCTTGATGCTCTTTTTGGTTGGTGTTAAACAAGAAACCCTTCAGTTGAGTTATAAGCAGAGCCTGCATAGTCTCACCCTTGCTGTACAGCAGTGGTTCTCAGCCTTCCTAAAGCTGTAACCCTTAATACAGTTCCTCATGTTGCGGTCACCCCCAACCATAACATTATTTGCATTGCTACTTCATAACTGTAATTTTGCTACTGTTGTGAATCATAATGTAAATATCTTTGTTTTCCAGTGCTTTTAGGTGACCTCTGTGATAAAGGGTCATTCAATACCACCCCTCCCCCAAAAAGGGAGGGTTTACAACCCACAGGTTGAGAACTGCTGCTCTAAAGGGCAGGGTCTCTAATAGACTAAATTAAAAAAAGCTTTGAGGGGCTGGAGAGATGGCTCAGTGGTTAAGAACACTGGCTGCTCTCCCAGATGTCCTGAGTTCAATTCCCAGCAACCACATGATGGCTCACAACCAACAACCATCTGTAATGAGATCTGGTGCCCTCTTCTGGCCTGCAGGCAAACATGCAGGCAGAACACTGTAAACATAATAAATAAACCTTAAAAAAAATGAAAGAAAAGAAAAAAAGCTTTGGGGATCCAGCTATTGCTAGACTTCACAACCAAAACATGGCGGTGCACGCCTTTAATTCCAGCACTCAGGAGACAGAGGCAGGAAGAGTTCAAGGCTAGCCTGGTCTACATAGTGAGCAGCCATCCAGGGCTACAGAGTAAGACGCTGTCCCAAACTAACAACAACAAAGAAGAAGAAAGAAAGAAAATAAGTTTGATAGCTATGCCCAGCCTCAGCGTTAGACCCTGGCCTGTCTCCTGGCTTGTGAACCTTTTCGGTTTGGAAGTATGGCTGTTGGATGGTCAAAGCTCTGATACTCTGATGAGCATCTGTGAAAACAGCCATCTGTAACATCACTGAGGGCTTTTTGTTTTGTTTTCTCGAGAGCTTTTGATTATTGTTATTTTAATCTTGTGTGTTTGGGTGTTTTGCCTGCAAGTGTGCCTGTGTACTACATATATGCAGAACCTTCAGAGCCCAGAAGAGCGTGTCAGATCCCCTGGGACTGTATTTACAGAGGGTGTGAGCCCCAGGGTTGGTGGGAGGGAATGGAACCTGCCTGGGTCTGTTAGAAGAGCAACCAACGCTCTCAACTGCCGAGCTGTCGCTCCAGCCCAGTACTATTGTATTGAGCAGCGTCTTGCTCCTTTATTTTCCTGAAGCTCAGTAAGAAGGGCAATTAGCAGTTTAGCAGTGGTGGGTATAAATAACAGTGTTTCCGATATTAAGTTAGGTTATCGTTTGTGGGTGTTTGGTGACAGTCTTTCCACGCTGGCTTTCAACTCATTACTTAGCTGAGGATAACCTTGGGCTTCCTCATACTCCTGTTGCCTCCTCCTCCCAAGAGTTCGGATTACAGGCGCGGGCCCCCATGCCCGGTTTATGTAGCTCTAGGGATGGTACCCAGGCTTTCGTGCACTAGACAAGTGAGCTGCATTCCCTGCTCAAGGAACTCTTTAAAAGGTTACTATTAGCCTAAATGTCTAAAGGTAAACGAAAAGTTGTCATTTATGCCCAGTGTGGTGACTCATGCCTGAATCCCAGCTCTTAGGATGATGGTAGATTTGAGGCCAGTTTGCACTAATGGTGAGTTCAAGGGTACCTGGGGGGTACATATGAGCCCCTATCTTGAAAAGCCAAGAACTAGCAGGGTTGTGGTGGTGCAAGCCTTCAATCCCGGCACTGGGGAAGGAAAGGCAGGCGCATCTCTGAGTTTGAGACCAGCCTGGGCTACAGAGTGGTTTCTATCTGGTCAACACATCAGCTTCTTTTGGACATCGAGACCCTCCCCATCCCTTTGTGTCCTCACTCCCACCTGAGCTGGTTCCTCTCTAGGCTGCTGCCACTTTCCCGAAACTTCTATTCTTTCTCCTGGATTTTTCTCTACTCTTCTCCTGCCGACTTTTAACGGTTCCTCACATCCCGTGGCTCTCTTTCGTTTGCTCCTTCATCTTGGTGGACCACTTCCTCCAGTAGTTCCCTAGGAACTTGCACTTGAGTCCTTGTATACCTAGGGATGTACACTCAGAGCAGAAAATAGTTTAGTTACAGAATCCTCGGTCAGCATTTATTTTTCTCCACTGGGTTAGTGAAGAATCGTTGTGTTCCTTGTGTTTGGAAGTGTTAAGAATCCCGTTAGCCTTATGTAACCCGCTGTATCTGGATGCTTCTAATGTCCTATCTTTCTCATCTGTTCTGAAATTATACCCTTGCTGTTTGCGAATAGAGGACTACGTGGTGAGAATACACGAGGCTCTGAGAGCTCATTTGCTTTAAAGCAGAAGTCCTCCCAGCTAGATTCTGTGTCCCCCAGCTTCGTGTGGGTAGTGGAGGGGTCCGTTAAGCCCAGATGGCTTTGGAGAAGGCAGTGACATGGAAGCACAATGGTTTGGGCCTCCCCAGGGTCCCACACATTCATTCTCACTGCTTTAAGCTTGTTATTTCTCCTGCCCAGAAACACTTTGATTATTCGTATTGTTATTGATTGAGCCGTGCGCGGTTATTGTTTCAGGTGTCAGTGCTGTTCCGTGACGTGTACATAGACTTCTCTCAGGAGGAGTGGGAGTGCCTGACTGAGGAGCAGAGAGATTTGTACAGAGACGTCATGCTGGAGAATTACAGCAACCTGCTCTCAATGGGTAAGGGCTTCCATACTAACTCTGATTTGCCTGTTGCTGGGTCTCTTTCCTCCCTTCAAGTGAGAGATGCTCACCTGCCTTTGTAAAAGCCATTTTGAACTGGGCACGGGAGGCAGAGGCAGGCGGATCTGTTATGAGTAGGTTTTCCCCCTCCGGTCCTGCCCCACCGCCACGCCAGCCCCAAATGATGCACAGAGACCCTGTATTTGATATTAAATGCTGTGGGCCAGTTACTAGTTTCTTATCGGCTAGCTCTGTCTTAATTATTAACCCATTTCTATTAATCTAAGTACTGCCACGTGGTCTCATCTTACCGGCATTCTTTCTCCATCGTCCATCTTGGATCTCCTCCTTACTACTTCCTCTCTCCTCCTAGTCCCGCCTATCTTGCTTTCCTATTGGCCAACAGTGCTTTATTCATTAACCAATACGAGAAACATATTTACAGAATGACGTCTCCCATCACGGATCTCTGAGTTCCAGGCCACCCAGTGCTGTAGTGACACATCTGGGTTCCCTTAGGCCTCTGAGGAAGGGGGGAGGGTCCAGCGAGAGCCTGAAGACAGGGCCTCTGGTTTCCCATCAGGCAGTGCGGGGAGGGAAGTGTGGCGACCAGTGGGTGAAGCCGGCACACTCTCTTCTCTGGATGAGAAATCCAAGGGCCTGGAAGGCTGTCTGCGTGTGTTCACAGACCTCGCTCGCCATAGAGTGCCTGCCGTGTCTGTGAGGCCGGGAGACGGGGCTGCAGGCCCTGTGGCCTGAGTGGCAGTTTGCTCTGCTTCCCAGCGCTTCCCAATAGCCTCTTTGCATATCTACTGCCCCAATACCGGACTGTGCATTTCCCTACATTGTCAGGAGCACTCACCCCTCCCCTCCCCTTCCCCCCCTCTGCCCATTGTACTTCCCTTCTTCACTGCCTCCAGGGGATTAGCCCCGGGCCTGTGCCACCGTCTCAGTTAGGTTTCTAGTGTTGTGAAGAGATGCCGTGACCATGGCAACTCTTAGAAAGGAAGACATTTAAGTGAGGCGTCGCTTCCAGTTCAGAGGTTTAGTCCCGTATCGTCACGGTGCGGAGCATGGTGGCCAGCAGGCAGTGCTGGAGCTCAGAGTCCTACATCTTGATTGTCAGGCGTCAGAAAGTGAACTGAAACACTGGGCGTGGCTTGAGACCTCAAAGCCCACCTCCACACTTCCTCCAAGAAGGCCACACCCACTCCAGCAAAGCCACGCCTCCTAATAGCACCACTCCCTATGAGATTATGGGGCTGATTACACTCAGACTACTGCAACGGCTGGCCTGCCATTCTGCCAGACTTGCTTTCCTCACTAGGTGTTTTGTTTTGTTTTTATTCAGGAGTTCCATGCCTGCCTTGATTCATCCGTTTGTTTGTTTGTTTGTTTTGTCCGGACAGGGTTTCTCTGTGTAGCCCCTACTGTCTTAGAACTCACTCTGTGGACCAGGCTGCCCTTGAACTCAAAAAGATCTGCCTGCCTCTGCCTCCCAAGTCCTGAGATTAAAGGCGAGCATCACTCCTCCTGGCTCATCCATACTTTTAACCACGATTTACTGTTTCTCTAATGTGTACAGTCCTCAGGTAGGAACTCCAGAAGCTAAAAAAGTAAATTGCAGCCGAGTCAAATTCATTGCTGTCCTACCATGGCAAGCACTGGCTCAGAGGCTGCCGTACAGACTATCGTTCTTGGACCCCGTTCCCCGAGTTTGGGGTCAGGGATGAATTTGGTCACAGACAGTAAGCGTCTAGACCTGAGACCGGGTGAGGCAAGGGGTGGCATTGGCTTCCACAACTGACCTTTGAGGCTTACTCTGCCTCACCCAAAATAATAATAGTTAGGCTTAGGTGGGATGTGTATGTGTGCACATGCATAGATACTTAAAAATATATGCACTTTTAGGTAAATAGAAAATAACATGATTTCAGGTGGGTGGTGGCGGCTCATGTCTTTAATCCCAGCACTCGGGAGGCAGAAGCAGGCAGATCTCTGAGTTCGAGGCCAGCCTGGTCTATAGAGTTCCAGGACAGAGAAACCCTGTCTGGAAAAATATAAATAAATAAATAAATAAATTTTCCTGTAGCGTTCCCAAATGTCCTTAGTGTTATTTATCCTTCCTCCCTTTCTCTCCTGATTGTCCGGCTGTTCTGTTTTCTAGAGCTTCCCCCTGGAGCTCTCTTTTCACCCTCCTGGTTCCTGAAGCTGCTTCTGGTCATATACTCACATCTGAGGATTTGGGGCTGGGAACCCCATAAGGGGAATATGTGGCTTTTGTCTTCCTGGGTCTGGGTTACTTTCCTCAGTGGAACATCTAGTCCCATCCAGTTGCCTGCACATTTCGTGACTTGGTTTTTCTTTAGAGCCAAACAGTATTTCATTGTTTATAGATTCCGTATTTTCTTTTTCATTTCTTTCTTTTTGGTGGAGTGAGGGGGGCATGGTTTCGAGACAGGATTCCTCTGTGTGGCTTTGGAGCCTGTCCTGGAACTAGCTCTTGTAAACTAAGCTGGTTCGAACTCACAGAGATCCATCTGCCTCTGCTTCCCGAGTGCTGGGATTAAAGGTGTGCGCCACCAACACCTGGCTTGTTCTTTATTTTATGTTATTTTGAGCCAGGGTCTCTCTGCATAGCCCTGGCTGTCTTGGAAGACCGGGCTGACATTGAACTCCTGGCTCTGACTCCCAAGTGCTGGGATTAAAGGCGTGCGCCACCACCTTGCTTTTTTTCCTTTCTGGGGCTGAGCAACCTTGAATTCACTCTTAAAGCAGGCAGGTCTTAACACTCACTCCTTCTAAGTAGATGGGCTAATGGACCTGTGCCGCCGGGTTTGCCAGTGGGTGCCATTTCTGTATCCACCCTGGCGCTTTCTTCTCGAGCTTGGATTATCTGTCTAGCACTGAGAGGCTATTTCCACAGATGAAAACTTGTTCAACTTGATGTTTCTGCAAAGAGATGAGTGCTGTCATCCTGTTCATGTTTATAGGGGGTTTTATTTGGTATCACACCTTCAATTGTGTTCTCACACCTATTCCTGACATGACTGAGAAGAATTACTATGTATGTTTATATGTATATGTATATAGTTTTTGAGGTAGGGTCTCTCTATGTAGCTCTGCCTGTCCTGTAACTATGTAGATGAGTAAGTAGCCTAGAGCTCACAAGTGTGTGTGTGGGGTGAGGTGGGGTCAGGGGACGATGATTGATAAGGACAGGGATTTCTGTGTGCCATGAGCATGCAGTGCCCATGGAGGCCAGAAGGGGGCGGCAGATCCCTGGAAGTGGAGTTATTCCTGACTTGGTTAAGCGTTTTCTTTCATAATAGTATTGAGTCCCTACTGCATATCACATACTTCACATAGGTTTTCCTGTGTAATCACTGCTTCAACTCATATTGTCTCATCTTGTTTTATTGACACAGGGTTTCGTTTTATGACCCAGGTGTGTGAAGCTGTGTGCCTAGGCTAGCTTGAACTCACAGCAATTCTTTTCTCAGCCACAGAGCTCCTTCGTTACAAGTGTGAGCCACCACACCTGGCTTTCTCATCCATTTTATTTACTGTTTTACATTTTGTTAAAAGACTTATTTGTATGACAGTTTTGCCTTCCAGAAGAGGGCATTGGATCCCCTGGAAGAGCAACAAATGCTCTTAACTGATGAGCCATCTCTCTGACTTCTTTTTGATTATTATTATTATTATTTTTTTTTTAATTTCCAAGACAGGGTTTCTCTGTGTAGCCCTGGCTGTCCTAGAACTAGCTCTGTAGACCAGGCTGTCCTTGAATTCAGACATATTGCTGGGGAATATTCGATCACACTGTCAACCCGGAGTTTGCATTTGCATTAATTAAAGTTAACCTTGGGTCAGGCAGATGAGTTAGCAACTTAGTTAGTAATCATAGAGCATCAGAGGGCATCTGGAAGAGATAGAGATACCGGATTAGGGACGGAGCTGGAATGACTGCTTTTTGTTGTTGTTTGCAAAGCAGAAGGATACTTCTTTTCCGAGACAGCAGCAAGGAGAGAAGGTTAGCTAGTTACTACTTATTCTCTCTGAGCTAGCGAGTTTTCACCCCAGTCTTGTTCCTAAATAGAATGATAGATTTAGTTAAAGCTGCCTTTAACAGCAGCGACAGAGCCTGTGCCTGCGGGCTGCTGCCAGAGGAACAGGACAGTAATTGTGGAGTCTCAATTGCTGGCTGAAATAGCTGTACATTAAGGTGCATCCACTGTGCCGAGGGTAAAACAGAAGATTTGTTTGCCTCTGCCTCCCCAGTGCTGCAATTAAAGGTGTCCACCACCACACTCAGCTTTGCACACACACACATGTATAATGTAAATATCTATATCTATATATGGTTTAACTTACATGTACGCATGTGTACCACATGCATGTCTGGTGGCCATGGAGGCCAGAAAAGGACTGTTATTATCCTAGAACTGGGGTTGCAGGCAGTTGTGACCACCATGTGGGTGCTGGGAACAGAACCTGGGTCCTTTGCAAGAACTGCAAGTTTCCTAACCACCGAACCTTGGTAATTCCAGCCTTGGATTTTTTTTTTTTTTTTTTTTTTTTTTTTAAATACAGATTCTCATAAAACCCAGACTGGCTTCAAACTCAGGATGACTTTGAGCTCCTGACCCTCCTGTCCTCATTTCCTCGGTGCTGAGGTTATCAGTGTTTGCCATCTCAACCAGCTGACCACCATCTAGTTTAAAAAAGTCAATTTAGTTCTCCCATACTTGTGTCATATGTGGTTGAACTTTCATGTCTCACAAACAATAAAAAGGCGAGTGATCACTTGTATATTTTCTTTTAGTCCTGGAATCAAGATGTGAGGCCCAGAAATTGTTTTTGAAGAAGGAACTCTATGAGATAGAGTCAGCCCACTGGGAGATAATGAGAAAACTCACAAGGCAGGACCTTCAGTGCTCCAGTCTCAGCGGTGCTTGGGAATGGAGTGGCCAGTATCCGAGACAGCCTGGATCTCAGGAGCGGCGACTCAGTGAGCTGCTCATCAATCCCGAAGACACGCCCACTCTCAGTCGGTACCCATCCTTCAGGCTGCAGCAAATCATTAAGAGTAAAGAGAAATATTGCGCAAGTAAAGAAAATAGGAGCCACTGTGAACACGACTCACAGTTTACGACCCATCAAATCATTCGTAGCTCTGAGAAACCGTACGAATGTAAGGACTGCGGCAAGGTGTTTAGACACCCCTCAGGGCTGACCCATCACCACAAAATTCACACTGGGAAGAAGCCCTTTGAATGTAAGGAATGCGGAAAGACATTTTTTTGTGGCTCGGACCTGACCCGACATCAGAGAATTCACACAGGTGAGAAGCCCTATGAATGTAAGGACTGCGGAAAAGCCTTTAGCAGCGGTTCAAATTTTACTCGCCACCAGAGAATTCACACTGGTGAGAAGCCTTATGAATGTAAAGAGTGTGGGAAGGCTTTTAGTAGCGGTTCAAATTTTACTCAGCATCAGAGAATTCACACTGGAGAGAAACCCTATGAATGTAAGGAGTGTGGCAATGCCTTTAGTCAGAGTTCACAGCTTATTAAACATCAAAGGATACACACTGGGGAGAAACCCTATGAATGTAAGGAGTGTGAAAAGGCCTTCCGGTCTGGTTCTGACCTCACTAGACACCAGAGGATTCATACCGGAGAGAAACCCTATGAATGTAAGATTTGTGGGAAAGCCTATTCTCAGAGCTCGCAGCTCATCAGTCATCATAGAATCCACACTGGGAAGAAAGCCTACAAATACGAGGACTGTGGAAAGACCTTTAACTATGACTCACAGATGATTCAGCATCAAAACTTATATTGGTGATAGACAAAAACATAAAAAACATGGATGTGAAGACTCGAAACTATCAGAGACTCTACCTTCAAAATCCCTCTAGACTGAAGAATGTAGAAATAGTTTACTTGTTGACCTCAGCTCTTTTATCTGAAGAAAATTCATATTGGAGAGATACCAATGAATATAGTATATTCTGGAAGCCTTTTAGTAACTTCCTATTTCTTTATTCAGCCTGCACATCACTGAAAACAATCCTTTGACCATAAACATCAGAATTCATGTAGCAATGTAATCATGGTTTTCATTGTTTCCTAAGATAATTGTCACATTAACATTTTAATCCATCTTTACATGGCTATTAACCTTTTCTGTTAATATCATAGTTTACAAATCCATCTTTACATGGCTATAAACCTTTTCTGTTAATATCATAGTTTACAAAATGCCTTGATTTTCAAAGTTAACAGAAGTGCCATTTTTAATTTGAGAGGTGGTTGGTTCTTTGACTTTTCTAAATCGTGCTCTTGTAAACAAGTTCACAAACGACTTTCACCTTACAAAAGCAACTCGAAGAGTTTGTCGCCCACGGTAGAATGATAGCCCCACAGGGGCAGCTTCCCGGGTTCTCTTCAGAGACCTCCAACCAAGCCAGACTGAGAGACATGGCATCAAGGAGACCTTCAGAGGGAGCCGGCTATGGAGTGGAGTTGGCTTTATTAAAAATAGGAAGCAGGTGCTCCGAGAGAGGAAGGGGAAAGCTCACTTGATAGGAGGAGTGTGGGCGTTTCCAGGGGAGAGTCATAGCTAGGTGCTTACAGTGAGTACTTAAGGGGTATTGGTGGCTCTGAAATTATCTCTGAAAAGATTGCTAAGAAAACAACTCCTTCCTAACATCACACCCAGAGTGTCATTTGTAAGACTTAAA